ATCGAGGACTTCGACAAGGCTGCGGTCTTGCGCCCATCTTATGGGCTCTATACAGTGGCTGGGTGCTGAGGCAGATGAATGATCCCACGCAACTACAAGTCACAGACACGGCCACAGTGTACGCTGATGACAAGCATTTTGCCTGGATAATCAGGAAGGGCAGCGACCTGGAGAAGGCGTACAACGCCATGAAACATGTGCTCCGCAGTCTCTCGCTCTTTGGTCTCACTGTAAGCACGGACAAGACGGTCATACTCCTAGAACTCAAAGGAGCAGCGGCGTCCAGATCCCTCGCCAGGTACGTGGTACATCTACCGCAAGGACCGCACGTGAAATTCGTCATAGATGGGAAGGCCATACACATCAAACTCGCAACATCGCACGTCTACCTTGGAGCTGTTGTTTCGTACAAGAGGTTCGAGAGTGAAACCTTCAGGCACAGACTGGGCATCGCCAAGGGGACCTTCACCAGGCTCGGATCAATTCTACGTAACCGTTCAGTGCCGATGACCCTTCGCCTTCGCTTATGGCAGGGCTGTGTATGGCCAGCCCTTCTTCATGGACTCGATGTTACAGGCCTACCTCAACCAGAGCTACAGACGCTGCACTCCCAGCTAACGCAGCAAGCTCGCTCAATAGCCAGGTCTTATTCAATGTTCACGCGTGAGTCCAATGCGGACTTCCTGAAGCGGCTTCACATCGACGACCCAGCCAGGAGACTCAGAGACTCACTGAACCGGAGGCAGATGCAAGACTCGCTTCTAGGACCGGGCCTACTACCTGGCACGGCGCAGCTCCAATGGAGGGCAATTGTGAGCGGCCAACTGTTTGACTGGCCACGCACTTCACAGACACAGCCACATGCCACTCAGTCCCCCGCATCACTGAAGTGCGTTGATCAGGTGATACATGAAGTCTTTGAGTGTGAAGAGTGTGGCCAGCAATTTGTGACAGCGGCTGCCCTCAAAAGGCATCGATATCTCATGCATTTCAGCGAAGAGCAACAAACAGAACGACAACAAGAAGTGCAGCAGCTCCGAAAGACCTCCCCTATGGAGCACGCTAAGGACGGCATGCCACAATGCAGACATTGTCTACATGAATTTACTACGTGGCATGCCTTCTTCTACCATGTCACCTCACGCAGCTGCGCAATCCTAAGGGCCATCTACAACCAGCACGATTCAGAAGTGAACCTCGTACCTTTGCTGAGTGAGGCGGTCGTCGACTCCCAAGAAGTCCTGTCACGCGCTAAAGACTGCACATGGCAATCCCTGGCACAACTTGACATAGTTCGCAACAAACAGCACCACTGCCTGGAATGCAACCACTGGTGTGTTAAACCGACGTATGTCAGAAGACACATGCAGACCAAGCATCCAGACAGAATTCCGCTCATTCAAGCATGCATTGAGGACATCAAGAAGAGCAACGTCAGCTTGAAAAGCCCGTGCCAGTACTGCGGACTACAGTTCACCAGGCGAGATGCCCACCTACGGTCATGCATAGGAATCTTTAATGGTGTATACCTCCACCGTCGTCTTGCTCGAGGCAAAGCCCTGAATCTTGCAGGCCAGACGACGTCCTCCGGACTCAAGCTTTCGGACCATGTTCGGGACATTCCGACCGGAGGAACCCGTTCCGACCGAACTGCAGGCAGCCACCCAGGACCTGGACATGCTGAAGGCCCTCCTACCGACGGCCATGAACCTCCAGCAGTTCCAATACCACCAGTCCATGGAGACCGAGGAGCAGGAGGACACCGACCAGCGACCCCAGAAGTGGCAAAAGCCGGGGCCCAAGGGAGCTCCTCAAGGCGGAAAGGGCAGACGCCACAATCCGCAGGGCTCACGCTACAGCAACTCCTGGAGAAACAACGACTGGGGAAGCCACAGGCCACAGGATCAGGAGACGTGGGCACCTCGTTCATCCCGAACAACAGCACAGGACGCCGACCAGCACAAACAGATGGCAGAACTCAAAGCCATCGTCTCCATGCTCAGCACGTTGGTGCTCAGGCAAGAAGTGCAGATGAATGTGAGCCGACAAGACACAGCCTACGTCATCTTCATCCAGACCCACAATGCCGACAGTTTGGCGATGAGCCTCTTCCGCATCGGAGAACAATGGCGCCAAACCAAGATCGAGAAGCCGGAACAATTGAAGGCACCGATGAGGGTTGTTATGTTCCAACATTTCATCTCGACAGTCAAAGACCGGTTTGCACAGATGACGACCTCGCCGTCGGCAAAATCCAAGGCGAGGGAACTGGGCTACATGCTGGAGAAGGAGGACTTGATACCGGGGCTCAAGTGGGACCACTCGGAGAAGAAGCACATTCTGGACGACAAGGCGGAGCCCTTGTCCACGGAGGACGTGCTGAAAGCCCTAGACAGGCTCCTTGTGCTCAGCGCCCAGACCCTGGTGATCTCCCGCTTCCACGGCATGCGCAAACTGAGCGAGGAATATACATCCCCCACTTTGGGGATGTTCCTGGAGATCGGCATGCGGACCTCAGAGGCTCAGGAAGCATGGTCCATTCTGCATCGACTAAGCGGCTCGGCAACGTGGATGGCTGCCAGCTGCTACCTCCGCCACGAAAGAATGCAAATGAGTGCTTTGGCCAAGAGGCTGGCAACAGTCACCAAGTGACAAGCATGAAGATCGGAAATAGTGGAAATTACTGCTATTCTAATGTTATCTTTAAAGCGCTGGTGGATTGTGCTCAAACCTCGGGGGACCACTCCACGATCTTCATGCCGTCATACTGTGAGTTTGTAAAGGGGTTGATCAGACGATCGAGTGCTTCAGTGGTGCATCTGTGGAAGCACCCGCTCTGGCTTTCGCTCAACCGAGGCTGGGCTAGACCTAGCTGTCAACACGATACTGCGGAGTACTTACTGTTCCTGGCGGGGAGCCCTTTACTGCAGAGGTCCAGCCTTGAAGTTGTGTGGCAATCCAGACACCGTCAGCCGCAAGCCGACGGGCGTAGTGTGGCGGATTCCGGGCAGTCCGTCCCGCTGCTGCTGCCGTCTCCCAGCGAGGGAGGCAAGGATTCCAATCAGTGTATTACGGTTCAGAGTTTGATTCGACAGTGGCAGCAGCAGCCTGAAGTACATGCGATGCTCACGCCTGCCAGAGTTTGGGTGCTGCAAGCGTGCAGATTTCAGTACGATGCTGAGGGACATGTCACCAAGCTTAGATACGACATCTATCCTTGTCGTGCTATTGATGTGCCTTGCTTTGTTGATAACAACGTGGAATGCCGACATGTCAAGTATCAGCTGAATTCGGTGGTGCTTCATTTGGGCGAGGCCCCAACTACAGGCCATTATCAACTAATATGCTACGAGGGCGAAAGCATCTACCTCATGGATGATGATCTGCCGGCTCGGAGAGTTTCGGCTAACTCTGCCCTTAGCAAATCTACTGACTCCTACCTTTTCTTCTACACTAGTTGCTAATGGCCCAGCCTGGTCCTGCTTTTGGGTATGCGTACCGAGGACCAGCTGCTTTAATCTTCTTTCAGTGTGAGCGGTTGGGAGAGGGATGTGCGATGCACAGCCATGCCGGGCCTCAGGCCTGTCCCTCGTGACGTAGCAAAGAGACAGACTTTGCAGCGTGTGAAAGTGAAAGTGAAAGTGAAAGTATGTATGTATGTATGTATGCCTGTGTATAGAGGGACACGCACACATACACAGGCATACGTTCTACACATGTATGTATCCAACAGCGCACAAAACAGCAAA